CATACCTGGGCCGCTCACCGATCGAAGTTATTGCGAGCAGCGCACTAATATTCTCCATACCCTGATGTGCGGCTACGATTGACTCTTGCATTGAAAGTGCTTACGCTGTGAAGCTCCCCCATGTGCACCATGGTTTTTACGTCATGGAACAAAGGCACCTACCGGTACAGTACATCAAACGGCGCTAGGCCTCGCAATATGGAAGCGTGATTTGGACTCTCGTAAGCTATGTAATTTGCATTCTTTCCCTGTCGCGGGAGTGCGCCACCTACTTGTTGCCTTAAAGCAAATGAACAGGCTTGCAGAGCAGCCGTCCATTGTAATCCAGCTGTGGCTTAATGTTGTCATCTAAACTTGGCGTTTATGTGACGAGGATGCTTGAAAGAAAGCCATATTTTTTTTCGCCTCCTACCTATTCAATCCATAATACCGTGCTTTCGAGTCCTGTTGCAACAGCGGATGGGTCTGTCGTCAGCATTGTCAGGCTAGGCAGCTAGCTACAAGAACTAGAGCTGATGAATTTTGACATGGACAGGGGTCCCTGCTGCCGAAGCTACCTGGACAGAGGTATCATCCTGTTACGGGCACCACTTGTCTGCAGCAATTTTGGTGCGAGACATTTTTGGATGACTGAGTTCTTCTAAATACCCGTGGGCCCCCAGCCTGAAAATGCCACTGCCCCCAGACACTTCCCTTTCTTAGGCACTTTGCTCGATGTACATAAACAAAGCGACACGGTGCACAGTTTTAGAAGGTACCGATTCTCCACCTACCACGGTACCTAGCTGCGTCACTACCCTACCTGCCTGATATCGCAATGGCAAGCTGATTCTACCAGTGAAGCAAAAATGCCTTCGCTGCAGAAACACACCGACAAGATCCATTTAAACCCCGACAAAGTTCCAAATCTCCCACAGCCGAATCCTCCTCTATTCTAAATTTAAATTGGGAGAGTACAGTTATGGGCAGAAGGGCGCTCCACTTTTGAATTAATATATCTTTTTAATTTGCTGCAGCCAAAAGTGGCAGGTACCTTGGGCTACTTGTGTCTAGCCAGCTGGAAATGGCTCCTACCATTGGTGGGTGTGGATTTTTTTGTTTTCAGTGGCCAAATGCTGCTAAGATAGGGCCAGTACACTAGTTTTTAAACGACGGTAGCTGTCTTAAGCTTGCACACTGGCCAGTTTCTGGCCTCGCCATTATAGAGTTAGGTAGAGTGCTGAAGCCAGACATCAATATCTAGCTCAAGACGCCATCTAGCATAAGTATATGACCAAACGAAACCCTGGTGATGATGAGGAAACCTGTTGAAGACTATCAAAACGGGCATACAATGGAACAACCGGCTGTGCATCCGATGCAGAAAAGGGATAGAACAAGGGACAACTTTGTCAGATCAACAATGGGTCTGATGAAGCGGTCAAATAGAATAAGCCGGCTCTATGACGCTGATATGTACGTCCTCGTGCGGTGGAAAAATAGGCATTATATGTATTGCTCTACGGAGGAGCAAAGCTTCCCCCCAGCTGCTGGGATCCTGGTGAGAGAAGTAACATTTTTTGTGGTAAGACAAGGAGGCTGACTACATCGGCAGCACAAAGTATATCCCCCAGTAGTAAAGAAAAAACCGGCAGACTTTGTAGAGAAGGATAGGAGGAACGTCGTGAAGAAAAAATAAGTGCGTGGTATTAAATAGTTCAATACAAAGACTCCTATCGACAGAAGCGATGAATTCTCATAGTCGAAAGTACATTTTCAAGCCCATCCGTGATAGGCACTCGCACTCAATTGAGAACGAGTCAATCATCAGGACACGTTGTTCTGAGCGTAGCACTATTATACGGCGAACAACGTTGGATTAAGTTGGCTATAGTTCGAGCAGCTGGATTAACACAGCTGGCTGCCACACCTGTGAAAGAAATCACTTCCTCGACCGTGTCGAATGACCAGGCTCCTCGAACTCATGGGTTGGCCCCACTGACCTCAACTGGACGAACTTCACTGAGGTACTGCGTCTCAAGTTCGCGGAGCTCCGTGAGCCTCCCTGAGCCACACGAAGCCTCTCTGAGCCACAGAGAGCCTCCCTGAGCCACCAGAGCTACCCTGAGCAACACGAAACATCCCGGAGCCACGCGAAACCTCCCGGAGCTACCCCGAGCCACTTTAAGCAAACTAAGCATCCCTCATTGGGCTAGCATCAACAGACCCCAGCCTAGAGGCTGAACCTCGTTCAAAAATCGCCGACCATTGACCCTGATGATGCAAATTGATACAGTGCTGCGTACATCATTCGTGTGCGACAAGACGATTGCTTGGAGCAGCCACTTTTGCCGCTGCACTCGCTGGAGGAGTGAGACGCACAAAGCTTCGTCAGGAAAGGAAAAACCATGTGAAGCAATTACTTTCCGCTGATCACGCGCTGACGCATTGAGTGGGCGATTACTGCAACTTGCATGAACACTTTCTCGTTCATCAGCTCGCCAACAACTAGTTTTGTCCTATCCCTCCCACACTGCAATACACAGCCATAAAAAGATGATTCATAGCAGTAGAACACCAACTCGATCTGTTGCAAAGAAAGCGCAAACGTTTGCAGCAACTTGAACAGTGTCAGCTTATGGCTGGCGCCTCGCGTGCAGTAGACCACAATGGCACTGGTGCTTGCGCGCGGCTCACGCTTCGGCTTGGAGAGGGGCTGGCTTGCAGCTGAGGACACGACCGAAGAGAGCCGCACAGTCAGTTTTCGGTTGAGGGCGTTTACATCTGCGCAACGATGCAACCTGGTGCATGCTGAAGAGTATTGCCTAGATATCTTAAAAGAAATCATTGTCTCGATATTATAATAATATTATATCAAGTATGTACTAAAGTTTCAACAAAATTCTGCCTCTATAAATATCTGCCGACACTTTGTTCGTTGACTGATTTTTAATTGTATTATAGTACTACTTGGTCCCTGAGCTAAGTTTCGTAGAATAATGCACCTGTAAGGTGTTCTGCGACCGCCCTGGATACTTGTCTGTAAAACACTTGTGGATCTCCTTCCAAGGAAGTCTTTGGCCCTTCAATTGTCTGAGTAACATATTTTGCTCATCAGTAAATGCCACTCGTGTACGTCCTCCCCTTGCTTGAATTGGGTCCGGCATTTTGCGGTGATCTGTTGCCGCTTCTCGAGCGCTCCGAAGAATCCTCTTCGGCGCCGCTTCTATTCGATAGCCACCAGGGGTGCGCATAGCTGTCTGTTTTTCTCGCAGCACCGCGCCATGGTGACGTGCATCGGCATACGTCGGTGTCTTTGATGGCCGATTTCTGCGGTTCGAATTGTCGTCTGAGGACTGATCACTGAAGCGGACAGAAGGCTGGTATTGCTGGGGAGGCTTGGCGCGGTCGCCATCGCTGGCCACGTCGGTTTGGGTTTTCGTGTCAGCAGGAGAAAATTTTCGCAGAAGCAGACTAGCGCGTGGGCGCACTGCAGTCCCATCTCTCCGATTAGGCTGCTACTGCGTGTTAGCTATACTGCTACCATAACACTGTCGTTGTTGGAGTGAAGGGAACGGTATGAGTGGTGCTGTACCTACGTTTTCGAATGTGCTGGCGCGTGGTACACCGCTAAAAGAGCCATTGCCCGATGTCACAGGGCTTTGCTTCTCCCCTTCATATTCTGACGATGTAACTTTGGACGTATGGTAGCTTGTGGGCTTTTGTCGCTTGCTTGGTCTGCCATCTTTGTCATCCGCATCATTGGTTGAGGCCGTGTAGTTGCGTTTATGGGCCTCTGTCGACAAGGGCGAGTATCCTGCATAGGACTTTGTACGGCGACTGGCAGAATCTTCTCCGCCTCTCATGGCCGGCTCAAGTCTCTGTCGCTTGCTTGACCTGCCATTTCTGTCGTCCACATCATTGGCTGAGGCCATGTAATTGCGTTTATTGGCCTCTGCCGTCGCGGGCAAGTATCCTGCATCGCATCTTGAAAGGCGGCTAACTGACATTTCTACGCTGGTTGTAGCGTGCTCAAGCCTCTGTCGCTTATTTGTATTGTGGCTATTTCGATCCGTATGTTCGGCGGAGTTTCCGGATTTCCGGCTGTCGTCCCGAGCCACGAGGATCGAGCTTTCAGCTGCACGTTTCCTGCTGCGCCGGTCGTTTTTACAGCCAGTGCTTGCATTGTTTCTTTTGTTGTCGGCCTCATAACTGTTGCCAGCTCGTAGATGAATGCCGTGAACGACTTGCGCGTGAGCCATAAACTCTTGCTTGTGCTCAAGTAGAACACCTGAGCATGCAGGGCACTCTAATGTTTGGCCCTCTTGCAGATTTTGAAGATGAAAGCGACGAAAGTGTTTGTTCAAGTCTGATGAAGCGTAGAAATCTGCGGTAAGAGTCGAAAATCCCGAATCAATAGAGTCAGGGCGAAGTGCGTTGCCAACACACACGAAGCACTTCCGTGGTCGTTTGATGGCATCATCTACCATGACCGACTTTAGCACCGCATCTTTCAGAGACTTGTCATTTAACCCCAAATCATTAGCTTGCTGAACCGGCCTGACACGCTCTGCACGACGCCGTCGGGAGGGGGGGCCTTCGTAGACTTGGCAGTAGGCCATGATGGCAGAAATGGCTTCATTTCTCTGCGAAAAGTATTCCTCGACCTTTTTAGAAGGCGGAACATTCAATGCTTCCATGAATCGCTTCTGTTCTTGTCCTTGGGGTGTGCTTGCGGTGTCCTCGGCTGGCGGTTTGAAGCCCATACCGTGCAGCTGTCGCTGAATGTCCTCCACTGCCTGCT